AAGAGTGGATCAGTGGAGGAGCAGCTGATGTTTTTACAGCACACATGATGAACAGGAGGACTTCAGTGGATGTGTGCTGAATGATGTGTTTCCTCTGCAGGTGAAGGTAGAAAGTGTGTGTGAGCTGATGTGAGTTCAGTAGCATGGATCAGTGTGAGGCTCCTCAGAGCAAAGTTCAGAGGTGAGAAGACATCTTTAACTGTCCACGACTCTTGTGCATGTCAGAGCTCAGCACTGATCACTGCTCCATCTTTATATACAGGAATGAACCTGAACCTGCACCCAGCTGTGGGAGTGACCAGTCAAAACAGGATGACATTGACTTTAAAGGAGAACAACCTCCTGCTGTGAAGAGGTAATCTGTATGTAGATATTGTAACTGTGTAAAATGAGTGTCTTAGTTTAAATGTCTCAATGAATAAATCCTCAAACACATGTTGAGTGTCAGCTCAGCTCTTCATCACATGTATATGTTCCTCTGTGAAGCGCTGTGTGCTGTCAGAGCCTTTCTGTGGTGGAGAGGCTGCAGGACACCAGCTGCTCCAGCAGGTGGCGCCTTTGTTCTTTTGCTCCAACACAGTGTAGGCAGGAACTTCCTCTCAGGTGGAAGGTGCTGCTGGACAGAAGAGGAGGCAGTTTTTCTGATTTATGATTGATAAACTTATTGATTCATCGTTGTTCGGTCTGAATGATTTGTGGTAAATATAAAATTGATTATTTTTCTGTCAGAAATAAACACTTGATTTGATTTGTGATATAATTTCAAGTCAAGCCTCAGTTTAATATTCACTGTGTAACAGATTCAGAACGTGTTGGAGAATCACTACATGAGAAAGCATCAACGTGAGACTGTCACACAAGAAGAAATCTGTGAAACCACTGACACACAGTTCATAGACTTGAGACAGGAGCTGATGTAGCCGAGCTGACATAGTTCACTTTATTTCAGTATTTGTGCTGAAAAATGACTGAAATGATTCATCAGTGATCAAATGTTTGCAGATGTAGTTTCAGCTTTAGTCACACGGTGCACAGCTTCCATCTTTTCTTCCTGTTAAACTCGTTTTGCAGCGTCTCTTTGTGCACTGGTGTGTCCTGCTGTCATGGAGTTTATCAGCCCTCATTCTTGGATTGATCCATTTAGTCCAAAACACATGTGGACGATCTCCTGCTTCCATCTGAGCTTCCTCCTC